TTGACTTCGGGGGGTTGTATTTTTTGAAACAGAGACCACAATTTTAAAAAGCTTGCATTTCGGGATATGGGGAAATTATTGTCGCAGGTCTCGCATGCGAATTGACTGATCGACGGCGTACGTCAAAACTTACGTTTTTTGAACAACATAATTTCCAAATTCATTTGTACAGTTGGCTGGTCAAGCTGACATTCTGCTCAATATTATTGTTTATGTTGTAGCACTTAAATCCGTGTAAATGTTTCAAAAACAACACACTCCTGGCACTGGATAATGGACTATTGCTTTTATAATTATTCTGCTTGTTATGTTTATGCAAAAGTAAAATGGGAGAGGAGTGTCCCATAAAGCGGTTGGTGAGCGTCCATCTACCACCTATAATAAACCCGATCACAACCGATAGGACAACCGTTCCATTGTCTATTAGTTAGGTGTCAGTACAGTTCAGTTCAGTTGATTGAGGGAAATAGGCGTAAGCCTTCAACTACCCTGTTTGCAACGTAATAATGAGTGGCGTACGCAAAACGTTTCTGGACTAAAGTACCTCAAAGGAGCACCAAAATGGTAGGATATCATCGGAGCGAGTTACAGGGGATGAGCTCGAGCTCTTATCGCTTTTGGTCATTTTTGAATATAAATAGGTCGAGGTAGTTTTTCAAGCTTTGTATAGATAGTGGTATCACAACACCTGCAAGAAGGGTATTCTATGGTTTGACCAATCGAACAGAGAAGGAAAACTTTCGCACATCCAGCTTTGCCTGCTGAGTGCGCAATTTGAACAGATGGCCTCGGAGGTTGATTGAGGTAGCAAATCCAAAAAAGTCTTCAGAGGCCAGGCTGCAGTCAAAACACTTTACGATGCGGAATGCTTGCAAGAGATTCTCGGGAAATTGCCTGTAACTCAAAGGACAGAGGTTCAGATTTACTAGGCAGGTTGCATAGGGAAAGGAGCTTTGATCCCTAACCATCTTCGGGACTCTCCTCTAAACTCTTTCGAGGCACTTTTAATTCTCAACCCCCCACGGTCTCCATGCTTGTATGCCGTACTCCAAGTGCGGCCGCACGAGTGCTCCGAATGTCTTTGAGAAAGCATTTTCGTCCAAGTCCATAAACGCACGCTTGATGGCGTATAGTACGGACATTGTGCTTTTTGCCACTCTCGAACAATGAGCGGACGGTTTTAGGAAACTCGTCGTCAGCACACCGAGCTCCTTTTGGGCTTCGACCTCTCATCTTGCTGCACCACCCAGAAAGTAGTCCCTTTTTCTGACGGATGTGGTTGTGTTGCCTAGGTGAATTATGCTACACTTCCCAACGTTGAATCGCAGGAGCCAACTGTCTGACTACTTTTCCAACCGATTTAGTTCCTTCTTTAGTCTATCTTCGTCAGTAGGGTCTCGAACTACACTCCATATCTTCATGTCATCTGCAAACATTGCTGCTTCACAGTTCAATGCTCTTGCGCAATCGTCCACGTATATAAATAAATAAATAAATAAATAAATTTTAATTTAATGCCAGTTTACAGGCATTGTCAAGGGAAGCGATTAAACACAAATCCGACCAGCAGTGAAAAAAAACTCCTGAGCTTAAGGCATAAAAATATAGTTGATGGTGGTT